TCCTAGTATGGGTAACCATACTTGGCCACATGTCACTTCACTAATGCTACACTGGTTATGGGATTTTTTTTTTTTAAACCAGCAACATGATTTAAAGCCCAAGGCTGTTTACAATTCACTGAACCAGGTCTTAAATTGAAAGCATTAATAAACAAATGAAATAAAATACTCCGATAATTAAAATTATCACACCAGTCTTCCAGTGGCATGGCCTGGAGGAACACCTCCTTCAGGCAGAGGATTCAGGCCTGTACCCGGCTCTCCAGCAGGGCCCTTCACTCCTGCCTAAAGCACTGCATGCATATGGAACAGTCTCTCGACCTGCTCGGGCAAATGTTTGTGTGTGTGTGTGTGTGGGAACACGTGAACCAGCGATTTGTGTTCTGTTTACTCTTCACCTTGGTCCTTAGCACTCTGTATCGCAAAGCTCAGGGGACACCTACATACCTAAATAAAAGATAAGAGCTACTTTTATCTGCCAATAAAACCTGCATCTGGCACCAGGAGCGGCTGGCAAGAGAGCATTAGTCAGGTAAAGCACCTGGAGGCTCCATCCATCCATCCCATCTCTCCATTTCATTCTCATCTGAGCATTTTTCACCATTCATCCTTTCTTGCAATTCAGTAGCTCTTTGCTTTCAAGCAAACGTAAACAACGTCCAGACACTCTCTTCTCAATGGAGCCTGAGAGCTGTCTGTCTATTCATTCTTTCATTTTTATGAGAGCAGCACACCCGTTTTGCTGTTAAATAATCCATTGATCCATTTGTCAGCCATAAAAGTTGGCTCAGACAGCACTGGCCGAAAGGTAGTATGTGAATGGGGATAGAAAATGGATATCCAGTCACATTACCTGCCGATTCAAGATGTCTCAATTCAGAAAGTGTGAGAGAGGGCTTTTATGGAACAAATCTGGTTCAATGAATTCTCGGGTGACCCCCAAGTTTCTGTTTGCTACATCACTGGGTTTGACGATTGAACTGTAAGTGCGGGAAGTAATCAAGACTGTGG